GCTGTGGAAAGCGTGACGTTCCCACACCAAGAATCAATGGACGTCCTGGGGTCTCAGGGTTGGGTTTCTTGTCGAAGGTTTCTTGTGGTCGTGCCCCTACTGTAGCGACTGGCTCACGGACGATCAAATTCACGCGCGCTTTAGAAGCCAAGCCGCGCGCTGCTCTCAACAAAAGGACGCCAGGAAATCTGTCGAGGCCGTCGTGGCGAGGGCCAACGGCTGCAGCAGGACTGCGGAAAGCCGAGAGCCTACACCATGTTCGAAGGCATGGTTGGCTGGGCAATGGACTCAGGAGATGACCGCGGGATGGAGCTCGTCCAGGAAGTTTTCTCCAGGCTGGACCACGAGACCCAGAAGTGGCCCCGAACGCTCGTCGACTTCTGGGGTCACGAGTCTCGCCGCATCTCCTTCGAGGAGCAGCGCATCGGTGCAGAGGAGGCCCCCCACGAAGGAAGATGTCCAACCAGACGACGGCGCCGATGGGCCCGAGCGGCCAACAGACGCCACAACGCGCGCTGACGCACGGCCCGCCGCGGACCCGCTCGCGATCGGCGAGAAGCGCCGGCAACAGACGGATGCCAAGAACGACGCGGCTCTCACCGACCTGGCCGCGCGGGTGCGGGACGGCATCGTCGGCCGCGGCATACAGTCGGCCCGGATTAGTAGGTCGACCCTGCCAAATCAAGGGTACCTTCGTGTCCTGTGTCTCGCGACACGTGCCTTCTTACACTCCTCTGGCCATGTGGCCCTCGGAAGGGTCTTGTGTCCTCTCGCGTGTCCTGTCCAATGTTGTCCGACTGTAGACCAGAGACCAGGCAAGCCAGTGGCATGCCGAGGCAGCACAGGCCATCCTGGCGGGAATGGATGACACAGCACCGTCGGCGATTGGCAGAAAGCGAAAAAAGATGCCTGAAGCACGCCCGACGATCAACTGGTATCGAGAAACAGAGCAAGAGGAAAGCGAGGGCCTCTCGAAGATGCCGCAGGCGCTGGGCATGCTACAGGAGGCGCAGGCCACCCCGACGACCGCCGAGACCGCGGGCACAGCAACGGCCCCCGGAGTTGTTCTGGCCATGGAGAGCGAGCACAGCAACGCACATTGGTCCCGCACACTGCAGATCGCACGCCGGAGCCGCCACTGGATGCACGGAATGGCGAGCCCACGGTGGCTCCGAGGGGGCGCGGTTGCCAGCACCATCAGCGACGTGATCACGGCGATGGGGTACCGCAAGTGCTTCGCACGGAACGGTGAAGCGAACGATTCGGTTGCGTTTGAATTTCCCACCTGGAACCAGGGGACATCTAAGGGGTTTGCCAGCCTTCCGGACAGTCCGTGCCGTGTCTGTCAGGGACCGATCAACGATCCAACAGGAGTTCGACATTGGCCATGCAGGAGATCGCAGAGGATTCTTCAAAAGCGAGCGGCGTAAACTTGGTAAGTGGCCCACCACGACACCAACATGTTTTCGTTGGCACGCATGCGGGCCGAAGAGATGCACTACGAGATGAAGCCTGACCCAAGCGTTACCAAAAGATACCATGGCGCGCACTGCGAGGGCAACCATCGGAAGGGCATTGCGTCCATCTATGTGACACAGTTTTGCTGCGCCGCTCTACCGGGGAAACTATTATACGGAGTGGAACTACAGTTGCACGTGAAGCACAAGAGGCGCGCCAACTTCCCTCGACAGGGCGCCCACAAGCAGCGGCGTCAGGATCCAGGACCAGCGCGCGTGACACATGCGGGTCCAGAGACCACGCGGTCCATCTACGAGACAACATCTTTCGGCTGATACAAGATATGGAACCGCACAGTACGCATTTGGTTGTTCGCTTTGCCACGCCCCCAGATTGCTGATCCAGCGTATCGGTTTCCAGACGCACCGCCCACGAAGGACAATCGGCGGCAGGTCGGAGAGCTACCACCACAGAATAGTTGGAAGGAGCACAGTTGGTGGCCGATATGGCGCCCCATGAAGCGCTGCAAGCAGCGCGCTGGACAGGGGCATGATTGGGTTTTTTCTTAAACAGAGGGTTCGTTTCCTATCAGCGCTGTGGTCTCAGACCTAGTCGGCGAAGCAACTAACTTGGCGTTTAAAGATTGTCTCACAGGTTTCCCCCCCCCCTCTGCAGGCACGCCCTGTCGCAGCAAATGCTACGGAAGGCCACGGACCTCGGTGATTCGATCGAGGCACAACGCACCCTTATCCCGCACCAAGGACGACTAGAGGAGTGAGTGGCTCGGTCGGCCGGCGTTAAGAACGAGAAGAATGGTAGGAGTTGTGGTCGTTCTATATATGTCACAGGGGAACAAAAAGTAACATAAACATAAAAATTCGGAGGTCCGCGCGGATTTCTCGGATCGTCGCTGGGGCCCCCACGCGGCGCCTCCGGCGCCGCCCCTGGCGCGCTCCGCGCGCCAGGGAGGGGGTCCAGCACCGGTCCGACGAAATCCGCGCGGACCTCCGAGTTTTTATACTTATGCAATTTTTTGCTCCCCTACGTCGGCCTCTCCCCCTCCCTCGCCGCCCCCCTCCGGCGCCGCCCTGCCGCCGCCTCTCGGCTCGCAGGGCCCTCGAGCGCCGCGGCGCGCTGGGGGCGCCGCCCCGGGCCGCGCGCGACAGAGAAGAGAACGCAGCCTCTCTTGCTGCCAGCCTCGTCTCCGTCCCCCTCACTGCGCCCCCCCTCGCTGTTTTGAGCTGCCACAGTGATATTAGGGGAACAAAAAGTGGCATAATCAAAAAAAATCGGAGGTCCGCGCGGATTTCTCGGATCAGCGCTGGGGCCCCCCCCAGCGGCGCCTCCGGCGCCGCCCCTGGCGCGCTCCGCGCGCCAGGGGGGGGTCCAACGCCGATCCGAGAAATCTACGCGGACCTCCGAGTTGTTATGTTTATGTCACTTTTTGCTCCCTTATTCGAGTAGCCGCAGTGATAACCAAAGGGGCCCCCATATATTCTACGGGGGGCGACAGGCCGGCTTTTGGTTGCGTCGCGGAACATGGCAGGGCTGCTGGGCGCCCAGGAGCTCGCGAGTGCTCGCATTCGCCCAGTCGATCGTTCTTTGAGATTCGGTGGTCATCGTGGCCTGGGTAGTCTTCGGCGTCTGGCATATCGCGCACCTCGCTATCAGGTGGTCATCGCTGCATGGGCCCGTGACAAATTTACACCCGAGAACCGATGATATCTACGACGCGTTCTGTTCGCGGTGCGGAGCGTCGCGGGCTAGGCCGCTGGACTGCTGCTCACGCCAAAGGAAGCAATTGCACGCGCCTGTCCGCCGCGCCTTTCGAGGGCGAATCTATCCAGGAGGTCCTAAAATCATACCCAGCGCGTCCAACACTCCAGCGGGCCAAATTCGCTAAATTTCTCGGCATCGATATCGATCCTTACTGGCGGGCGCTAGACGGTTCGGCGCGAGCTTGGCACTAAATGTCTCGCACGCGCGCAGGTCAAGCTGCTGAATTTATGCCGCGCCCGCATGATCAGCGCGGGGACCTGTTGTTCAGTGCGATGACCCTTTCTGAAGCCTCCCGTCTCGAGCGGGAGCCCTTCCGATCCTTCGTCGCCGCCCCGAGCAATGCGATGTCACGCAGCCCCCATCCAGCGTTTGAAGGGCACCGGTTTCCCCGCGCAGGCGAGACGCTGAAGCCCTGAATGCCCTGAATGCTTACCCCCCAGCCTCCCTGTTGACGCCCCCCACTTCCAGCAGAATGTACTCCGACTCTTTCAAGTCAGGTGCAATGTAAGTGCACGCGGTGAGTTTCGCAATGGTCCCATGTACTTCCATCCCAAGCTTACAGCGGCCTGGTTGGATTTAATTGCCACGGTGTTCTGTCGAATGTGTGCCTCAACCCCGAACTTCTTCAGTAGTTATCTCGGTTTCACAGTATACCACGAATAGCTCGTGCACCACCCGCCATGTTCGCGAGCCCACCAAGCGGCGCATGTGGTACCCATGTTCTGTTGCGCGAGATGGAATGTGCCCGCGTCTTGACTTGGTTCGGGTCAGTTTTCCCCGCCTCCTTGGTTGGCATCCGCCTCGGCTGTGTGTCGCATCGGGCCCTTGTGCCTCGGCTCATCCTCCGCTGACCAGTCTGTTTCTGTCGCTTGCCTGTGCGATACGACGTGCTTCGTCGATCATACACTGCACGGGCCAAGTAAGGGCGACCCCGTTGCCAGCATTCTCCTTGACCAGGCAAGGCTCATGCAATCGGCCCGGCGACCGCCTGCGGTTGCCCAGGCGTCTCAGTGATGGCATCGCCCACTGCGATCCAGTTTGTTCAAGCTCGCATTGCAAAACGGAGCGCCAGACACTGTACGGATAGTATGTGGTTTTGTCAAGTGCTGCGTAAAGTGCACGGCGTGGGTTGTTCTGAGTTGCCTTCGAATTGCGTTAGTAGTGCTTCCATGAAGGAAACTTGTTGCTTTGATGGCTCGACACAAAGTGCTCTGTTTACCGCGCGTTTCAGAAGCGTGGTGAGAGGCAGCCCATTTCACACACGCCTCGCGCGGACGAGGCTCAGGCAATCCGCAAGATGGCCAGTATCACCTCCCAGGTGTCAGGTCCACCTAACACCCGGTGATTATACCGCAGACAAGTTGATTCGTTCGCGTGAACCATGAACCTAACACTTGGTCAGCACACCTTGATTAGTTTCTTATGTTTCGCACAGACGGCCTTTGGGTCAGTCTACGCCTGGGGCCGTTCATCTACAAACCCATGGTTATCGCCAGCTGTTCCGCGATGCCTTGAGGCGCCTATCCCCCCCTGAGTTGGCCCTGGCGCTCGGATCATAACTCGACTCTCTGGCGGCACTTCGGGGCGATCCGGACTTTCCCAGAACGCCTTCGGCCAGGCGCAGTTGTTGAAAGGCATCCTGAGGTTGGGAAACCGCCGAGAGACAACGAAAACACCGCAAAACCGCGAGCCGCGAAAGCTGGAAAAATGCCTCGAGCTTGGATGGGCTGGACGCCTCCTTTTTTCGCCATCCTCACCTTCAGGCCGCGCGTGGGCATCTCGGAGGGCTGGGTGCCGGCGCGGGTTGCGGCGGACCAGGAGGCCCCGGACAAGGTCTCCAGAGAAGAAGAACGGTGACGACGGCAGCGGTTCATTGCCGCGGCGGCGAGGGGGGGAGGCGGAGAGAACAAGGGGGAGGGAGAAATGAGAAAAGAGGGGGGAGAGGCAAACCAGGTGCGCCCGCACCACATCTAGCCTGCCCCCCCCCACCCCCACCCACCCTACCCATCACTTCCCGTTGCACTGAATTATGTTCCATCCGCCGATGAGGATGTCCTTAGTGGACCTTGATCCCCAGACTGCAGCTGCAGGATGTGATCCATCGTTTGGAGCGCAATCGAAAAGGGGGGAGGATGAGGAGAAGGCGGATGAGCATGAGGATCACGAAGGGGAGGACGACAATGGGGTAAATTGGAAAGGAAGATGACGAAGGGGGATGACAAAGGAGGATGACGAAGGAAGATGACGTAGGAGGACGAAGGAGGATGACGACGGAAGAGGAGTTGGGAAGGCGGATGAGCAGAAGCGGGATGAAGAGGAGGAGCAGGATGACGAAGGGGGAGGAGGAGCTCGAGCACGAGCACGAGCAGGAGCAGGAGGAGGAGCAGCAAAAGGAGGATCAGGGCAAAACGTAGTGGGAAAACGAGAAACAGGAATAGGAATAGCTACATGACGATGCCAGTGCAGATGTGCTCGAGCCACCCTTGACCTTGACCAGCACGACAACGACGGGGAAGGATGCGGATCCAGGAGCGTGGGCCCCCGCTGGCACGAGAGCCTCGTTCTGAAAGGTGGGGGCGGAGCACAGATCCGGGAGTGTGGCCCACGCTGCAGTGGGAACACCACCCTCACAAGCCCAGAGACGGCCCGAGTGACAAATCATCAGAGTGAGGGGGCCGAACGGTCATTCGTTGTCTCTGGGTGCGTGGCTAAAGTGAGAATCCGCGCTGAAGATTCTGTTTGGTGCGTTGTTGTTGTTGCTGTTGTTGGTGTTGTTGTTGGTGGTGTTGTTATCGTCGTCCCACCCGCGACCCACCCGCGACCCACCCGGCGACTCACCCGCGACTCACCCCGCGACCCACCCGCGACCCACCCGCGACCCACCCTCGACCCACCCGCGACCCACCCGCGACCCGGCCCGCGACCCACCCGTTACCCACCGTCGACCCATTTGCGACCCAACCCGTGCCCCACCCACATTGCTTCAACAAAAAATCGGCGCTTGCTGCGGGCTCTTTTTATAGCTTGAAAAATTGTGCGCATGCGGCGGGCTTCTTCAGAGCTTCGCAGACTGCCGACGTAGCCGCCGCCCCCTCACTCTTCTCCGCAACTGCGGGGTGCTACGAACAGAGTAACATGTAGTGACGTCGTCGTCGTGAAGAAGCCCTACGCGGGAGAGGTGGCGCCACGGCTGGACATTGTCAGGAGACATAGAGAGAGAATCAGAGAGAATGAACAAAAATTGCGCACTGCGTGGAGCTCCTCATACGTGCATCTCATGTTCTATGTCATGCCATAGTGAGCGTCTGCTCATGAGCGTCCTACCCCCTGGCGGCTCCCCTTAGGGGTGCTGAAACCAGCGCCCGCCTGAGACATCCTCACAATCTGCTCTGAAAGCAAAGGATGCTGGGCATGAAAACGAGCAAACCGCCTGAGACGTCCCCACAAACTGGCCGCGAACGGGCCCGTGAGAACACCCCTGGCGGCTCCCCGTAGGGGTGCTGAAACCAGCGCCCCGCCTGAGACATCCTCGCAATCTGCTGTGAAAGCAAAGGATGTTGGGCGTGAAAACGAGCAAACCGCGTGAGACATCCCCACAAATTGGCCGCGAACGGGCCCGTGAGAACACCCTTGGCGGCTCCCCGTAGGGGTGCTGAAACCAGCGCCCCGCCTGAGACATCCTCACAACCTGCTCTGACAGCAAAGGATGTTGGGCATGAAAACGAGCAAACCGCTTGAGACATCCCCACAAACTGGCCGCGAACGGGCCCGTGAGAACACCCCTGGCAGCTCCCCGTAGGGGTGCTGAAACCAGCGCCCCGCCTGAGGCATCCTCGCAACCTGCTCTGAAAGCAAAGGATGTTGGGCGTGAAAACGAGCAAACCGCCTGAGACATCCCCACAAACTGGCCGCGAACGGGCCCGTGAGAACACCCCTGGCGGCTCCCCTTAGGGGTGCTGAAGCCAGCGCCCCGCCTGAGACATCCTCAAAATCTGCCGTGGGTTGAGTAACTCAGACTATGAGAAGGTCTGAGTATGAGTAAGTCTGTATATGAGTACGTCTGGGTACGAGTAAGTCTGAGTATGAGTAAGTATGTGTATGAGTTAGTCTGTGTATGTGTACGTCCGGGTATGAGTAAGTCTGAGCATGAGTACGTCTGAGTATGAGTAAGTCTGAGTATGAGTAAGTCTGTGTATTATCAGTAAGTCTGGGTATGCGTAAGTATGAGTATGAGTAAGTCTGTGTATGTGTACGTCTGGGTATGAGTAAGTCTGGGTATGAGTAAGTCTGTGCATGAGTAAGTATGTGTGTTGGGTGTTAGCTTGTTCTCTGGAGTCGGCGGCGTCCAAGAAATAGCAAGAACCCCATCTTAGGATATGGGGAAAAAGTGAGAGATATAGAGACAGAGAGGGAGGGAGGGAGAAAGAGAGGGAAGAGGAGAGGAGAGGAGAGGAGTGAAGTGGAGAAGGAGTGAGAGGAGTGGAGGGGAGGAGAGGGGAGGTGAAAGGAGAGGAGAGGAGAGGCGAGGAGAGCAGAGGCAACGTTGATGTTCAGGCGAGGGGAGGGTGGAAGGCGGGCGGGGAGAGGCGGAGCGATGGGGAAGTCCAGGAGCAGGAGGGGGATCCTGCAGGGCGTGCCCCTCCCACCCCGCACCGTACTGCGCGCCGCCAATCATCCTCCAAGGTCCGCATCGAGTACCGCTGGCCCTACTTTTACACCATGCGGGGGCAGATGGCCGACCCTCCCGGCTTCGGGCGGGAGCCCGCGGGGGGGGGGGGGGGGGGACGAAATGGCGCGCAGTTCGATTGTTCGTGCGCCCCTCCTCTTGTTCCTCAGCTTCATCCTCCTCGTCTTCCTGCTGCTGCTGCTCCTGCTGTTCCTGCTGCTCCTCCTCCTCCTCCTCCTCCTCCTCCTCCTCCTCCTCCTCCTCCTCTTCCTCCTCCTGCTCCTGCTCCTGCTATTGCTGCTGCTATTGCTGCTGCTGCTCCTCCAGCTCCTCCTCCTCCACCTCCTCATCATCATCATCATCATCATCATCATCATCAGCAGCATCAGCATCATCATCATCATCATCATCATCATCATCAGCATCAGCATCAGCATCAGCATCAGCATCAGCATCAGCATCATCATCATCATCATCATCATCATCATCATCATCATCATCATCATCATCATCATCATCATCATCATCATCATCATCATCATCATCATCATCATCCGTAGCCGTTTTGGCTCAAGTGTCTTCTCCAGATCTCTTGCAGGCGCCCACGCTCTGCGGTCAGCGGCGCGCAATTGTTAGATGAACCATGGCTACGGGGGGCTGCCCGCAGGAGCGATGGCGGGGCGGCCCATCAGGAGGGTCTGACGTGTCGGTGCGTTGCGCAGGAAGGAGGAGGCCGAGGTAGGCGCTTCGGCGGCCCGCCGTCGGGCGCGGGCACAGCGCCTCCTCGCGGCCGAGGCCACAATCAGCAAGGCGAGCAAACGCGGCCCAGGTTCCTGACAGGACCGTGAGGTTGCTGCGCGCCTTGCCTTGCGCCTCGCCGCCGCGGGAGGTCGCGTCCCTGGCGCAATGAGGCGGCGGCGGAACGCCGCATGACACGCGCTGCTGGCCCCCGTGGGCGGATTCGCGCGCGCGTCCGCAGCGGGTATAGCGCGGGCCGCCGCAGGCCCCCGCCTGAGCCGGCTGCCCCCGTTCCCTGAGGCGGCCGCGGTTTCCTTTGGCGACTTCGGAACTGCACCCGAAGAGCACTGCCAGGCGCTCGGCGCCGAGGACGAGGACCTCTGCGAGGGCAGGCTGGAGGACATGAAGGGCATGCTCACGCGCAAGGTCGGCCTGGACCTGGACGAGGATGAGGGCCTCCGCGAAGGTAGGCTGGACGACATGAAGGGCCTGCACAAGCGCGAGGTCGGTGTGGACCTGGACGAGGACGGCAGCCTCTCCGAGGACAGGCCGGAAGACCTGAAGGCCGCGTACAGGCGCAAGCTCGGCCTGGACCTGGACAAGGGCGAGGGCCTCCGCGAGGGCAGGCTGGAGGACCCGAAGAGCCAGTTCATGCGCGAGTTCGGTTTGGACCTGGGCGCGGACGCGAGCCTCTGGTCACCCCAGGAGGGGTCGTCGGGGGCCTGTCGGCAGAACCGACGCGGCCCACGCCATGGGCGGAGCGGCTGAGCGTCAGAGGGCCACCGAAGACGGTAACCTTGCCTTCGTGGAGGAACCTGGGCGAGGACGAGGGCCTTTTCGAGGGCAGGCTGGACGACGCCAAGGAACTGCACCAGCGCAAGTTCGGTCTGGACCTGGACGAGGACAAGAACCTTTGCGAGGACTAGCTGGATGAGGACCTGAAGGGCACGCACAAGCGCAGGTTCAGCCTGGACCTGGTCGGGGAGGTCGGGCTTGAGGACCTGGAGGGCAGGGTCAAGCGCAAGCTCGGCCGGGACGCGGACGAGGACGAGGTCATCTGCGAGCACAGGCTGGACGGCATGAAGGGCCTGCGCAACCGCGAGGTCGGTCTGGACCTGGACGAGGACGAGTGCCTCTCCGAGGACAGGCCGGAGGACTTGACGGGCATGCAGAGGCGCGAGTTCAGCTTGGACTTGATCGGGGACGAGTGCCTCTCCGAGGGCAGACTCGTGGACCCGAAGGGCCCGTGCATGCGCGAGTCCGGCCTGGGCCTGGGCGCGGACGTCGGCTTCTGCGAGGACGGGCTGGAGGACCTGAAGGGCCCGCGCACGCGCAAGTTCGGTCCGGACCTGGGCGAGGACGAGGGCCTTTGCGAGAACGGGCTGGAGGACCTGAAGGGCCCGCGCACGCGCAAGTTTGGTTTGGACCTGGTCGGGGAAGAAGGCCTCTGCGAGGACAGGCTGGAGGACCTGAAGGGCCTGCGCACGCGCAAGTTCGTTCTGGACCTGGGCGAGGACGAGGGTCTCTGCTTCCTGTCTGCGGCCGAGCTCTTGGAGGCGGGGGCCGCCTCCCGCGTCGCCCTCGCGGTGGCCGGCATCCTCCTGGGAGCCCCACTCGAGGCCCCTCAGGCCTTGGACGACCCTGAGCTCGCTTGATGTCTCTGGCAGCGCCTGCTGCGTGCCAGCCCGCGGGCGTCGTGGGCTGAGTCGCCGCGACTGCTCGGACGTCGCATCGCGCTTGCCTCGGCTGGGGCGGGGGCGGACTTGCGGCACTCAGGCGAATATGCGAGGGTGCCTTGGGCACGAGACTGAGCGTTGCCTCCGTAGGGTCAATGAGACGCCTCGGTCCGAGGGGCAATCCGAGCTGGGAGCTCCTGACCCCCTCAGCCGCGTGGATCACCATCGTCAGCATCATCAGCAGTATCATCATCATCATCAGCAGCATCACCATCAACACCAGCACCAGCATCCACATCATCATAATCAGCAGCAGCAGCATCATCAGCAGCAGCACAATCCCCATCAGCATCATCAGCATCAGCATCAACAGCAGCAGCATCATCACCACCACGGTCACCAACAACATCATAATCGTGGTCAAAATCAGCTGCAGCAGCATCGTCAACGTCAGGCGTCGCTCAGTATCAGAATCTTTCCCATCACCATCACCATCATCGTCCACAGCTGCTGCACCACCATCAGCATCATCATCACCACAGAGCTTAGCATCACCAGCATGGCCATCATGATACCAGAGAAAAACCACCAACATATTTTTGTTGGGGCTATAAGGCTATTTGGCTACGGGGTTAAAGGGCGATGTGGGCTAGATTACTAGAGGGACATCGGGCTATAGGACTATAGGGGTGTAGGGCTATCGGGCTACAGGGCTATAGGGCTATCGGGCTACAGGGCTGTAGGGCTATAGGGCTATATGGGCTATATGGGCTCCCCTAACCCCCGGGCACCCACGGGCACCCCGGCACCCGGGCACCCAAGGGCCTCCGGGCACCCGGCCACCGGCCACCGAAATCCTGGCGCACTGGGCACCAACGGGCACCCGGGCACCCGGCCACCGGCCACCAAATCGGCGCCCCACTTCACCTAATCATATGAATCCGCTAGGACCGCTACCGAGGCAAGCTCTGATTGGGGAATCAGCATCATGAATACCAGCATCATCGTCACCAGCATCAACAATATCAACAACAGTCTTCCTCATTCCACTCATGAACCTCCCCTCCTGCCTACGTGCTCGTCCTCTTCGTTCTTCTCGTCCCATCCGTCCCAGCAGTCTTTTTCCGCCTCCTCCCTTCGCCCACCATGTCCATTGGTGACGTCGGGGAGCGTTTCTTGGGAGATTCTTCAAGATGCATGACAGGCCCAGGCCCAACGCAGGTGCCGAAGGAGGCTGATCATTGGAAGGTTTTGGCTGGACACGCAGGGGCCGTCGCACTCCAGCTACGTCGTTTCAGATGATGTGCAGAGTCTGCTCACGCGTGGAGCACCCGAGGAGGCATCGTTCTGAGTCTGAGCGCCGCCAGCCCCTAGAATGGGCGACTCGAAAAGCGCAAGCACCTGAAGACACTCTCACGCAGGTGCCTCGATCGCCAGACGGATATCACCTCGATCCCATTCGCGCACTTTTTGTCGATGTCAGGGTGAGGATAAGATGCGAGCTCGTTCCTCTTGCGCGGCCGCGATTCGGTCGACGATGATCGGAGGACAGTGTACCCAGCAGCGATTGTCACAGCACGATGTTTCGGAATGTTGCGGGTGCCAAGCAGGCAGTGCCAGACCAGGTAATGTTTCTCACTTGGTCTGGCATTGCCATCGGTGCCAATAGTTGATGAAGCCTTGGACGCTCCCCCCCTGGAGAGGGCGAAGGCGGTTCCAGTTGAGTGTTCTTTTTTTCTGTCCGAGATGCTTGCTTCCCAGAACGTGGCTGCCCGGGCTGGAGCCTCCGTGTGCGGTCGAACATTGGGGGTACAGGCTCAGGGCGGGCGCGCCTCTAGATATGACAGACGAGGTGGTGAAGGCGCAGGGGAAGGCTTCAGATGTCTGATCCGAGCAGGCCCATGCGGAAGGGGGGCCTGGCGTCCGGCCCCCTCCCAGGAAACCAGCAGAGCGCCCACAGGGCCGAGTTATTTGCGATCTTGCCAGTCCTTCGAGTACAGTCGGGGCCCTGAAGAAGGAACCCTTTTCGTTGGGGAGGGGCTCCGCGTTCCTTAAGTGTTTCACAGCTTGCCTCAGGCTTTCCTTATGTTTTCGACAGGAAATCGAAGATTAACTTATGGAAAAAAGGGGCCTCGTTCCTTATTTCGGGTTCCTTAGGTCAACGCCCCGACTGTAGAGAGCTTTAGAAGAGCATGGCATGAGGGTCTTGTTTCAGATACTCTCTCGATGTCTTGGGCGCGCTCACGTTGGACGGTGCACCCTCCAGCTAGGGTCGGTTAATCTCTCTCCCTGCCGACGAGGCTGCCAAAATGAGTCTCGGGGTGCATGCTTTGTCTGAGGCCACCGTTGAGGCTTACCCGCAGGCCCTTCGTTTGGTCCGTCAGGCTGCTTGTTTGATGGCTCTTTTCCCTACCCGACAGGTTGGGGTTGGTAGATTTCAAGAACAGGCCCCCCGGCCAACCCCACTCTGCATACCGCAGCTGCCAAACCCCAAGTTGTCCCGAGCATCTCGGGTGTCCCGCCTCGCGCCTGGCCAACCCCACCTTGCATACCGCGGCCGCCAGACCCCAAGTCGTCCCAGTCATCCCAGGTGTCCCGCCTCGCGCCCGGCCAACCCCACACTGCATACCGCGGCTGCAAGACCCAAGTTGTCCCAATGGTCCCAGAGAGTCCCAGGTGTCCCGCCTCGTGCCCTCGACGAACACGACAGAGCACAACATGACAGAACGTGACAGAACATACGAGAACACAAAACGACAGAACAGAAGGCGGCATAGCACAAAATAACATAACATACCCGAGCACAACATAACACAATTTAGCAGAACATGGCATAACATGACACATCATCCCATAACGTATCTGTACACGACAGCAGAGCATAGCGACGACGAGCACGACATAAGACAACATGACACAACATAACACGACAGAACAGAACATGAGGCATGACAGAAACAGAACAGAACGCAGCAATTGCATAACACAGTAGGGCATAACATAACATAACAGAACATACCAGAGCATAACATGACATAACATACGACGACCTAACACAAGATAGCATAGCATAGCCGAGCATAACATAACATATCATAGCACAACATCAGAGTATAGCGACGACGTACACAACACAACACAACACAGCATGGTACAACATACCATGACACAACAGAACACGAGCATCACAGAACATGATAGAACATGACATACGTTTCAATGCCATGCCAAAATAGGGCATAGCACAAAAACACATAACATATCAGCCCATGGCACAGCATTACCGAGCATAACATAATATGTCAAATCATGCCAACACCACGGAACATAACATAACACGACAGCAGAGCATAGCGACACATACTAGCAGAGTAGATCAGACGATCCTGTATAGAGCCGTGTCTTCAACAAACAGAACATGACAGAACATACCAGAGCAGAGCATGACAGTACATGAGGCAACATAACACAAAATAGCAGAATTGAACCGAGCACAGCATCACAGACCATGTCATAACACGGCAGCAGAGCATAGCGACGACGAACACGACAGGACACAACATGACACAACAGAACATGACAGAACAGAACACGAGCATCACAGAACATGACAGAACATTACGTAGCAATGTCATGACAAAGTAGAGCACAACATAACATCACATACCATACCAGAACAGCACATGACAGAGCAGAAAACAGAGCACAACGTACCATAATATAGCCGAGCATGACACAACACACCTCATCATAACAGATCATAACATGACACAGCAGCACAGAACATACCAAAACACGACAGCAGAGCATAGCGACACATACTAACACAGCATATCAGAATAGACTTTACAAAGTCGAGCCGTCAACAATCCCCACCCGACAGATTGGAGTTGTTCCCCACCCGACCGGTTGGGGTTGTTACATTCAAGAGCAGGCCCCCCGGTCAACCCCACCCTGCATACCGCGGCCGCCAGACCTAAAGTTGCCCCGATGATCCCCGAGAATCCCTGGTACCCTGCCTCGCACCCCGCCAACCTAACCATGCATACCGCGGCCGCCAGACCCCAAGTTGTCCCGATGGTCTCCGAGAGTTCCGGGTATCCCGCCTCGCGCCCGGCCAACCCCACCCTGCATATGGCGGCCGCCAGACCCCAAGGTGTCCCGATGATCCCCGAGAATCGCGGTTGTCCCGCCTCGCGCCCTCGACGAACACGACAGAACACAACAGGACAGAACAGAACATGACAGAACGGAACAGAGCATGGCAGAACATGACGGAACAAAACATAACATATGAACACCATGATCAAGTAGAGCACAACATAACATCACATAACATACCAGAGCAGAACGTGGCAGAACATATATCGACAGAACACAACATAGCAGAACAGAACCGAACATAATATCACACACCTTGGCAGAACATAGCATAACATAACATGGCATAACAGAACATGAGGCATGACAGAAATAGAACAGAATGCAGCAATTACATAACACAATAGGGTATAACATAACATCACATAACATACCAGAGCATAATATGACAGAACAGACGACGACCTAACACAATATAACATAACATAGCCGAGCTTAACATAACATATCATAGCACAACATCAGAGTATAGCGACGACGAACACAACACAACACAGCATGGTACAACATAACATGACACAACAGAACGCGAGGATCACAGAACAGGATAGAACATGACATACGTTACAATGCCATGACAAAATAGGGCATATCATAACATCACATAACATATCAACCCATGGCACAGCATTACTGAGCATAACAAAATAGTTCACATCATGACAGCATCACGGAACAAATCATAACACGACAGCAGAGCATAGCGACACATATTAGCAGAGCATATCGGAAGATCTTGTATAGAGCCGTGTCTTCAACAAACAGAACATGACAGAACATAC